AATTTTCCTAAATAATAATTATGCAAATGGGATAATTTTACCTGCAACAACAGATCGAATGCTTCTGCTTTGATTCCTTCTTTTAAACAGATTTCCTTCTTCAGATCTGCTCCCGTTATGTGCAACCCGTCAAACTGGAGCGTTTTATATTCCAGTGTCGCTCGAAACTTATAGTGAATCGAGGACATACCCTGGAAATAACAGAGAAAAAGTTGTGATAATGCTTCTTCACCTACTGCGTCGCACAAAGATCACGAAAGGCTTCAAGAAACGACAAGGAAAATCAAATCAAGATTCCTTGCAGATGGATCTAGCTTTAACATTATCAGAGGACTCGTAAATGTTTGACCACCGTGTGTTTGTTTGAGCAATGTATACCTGCTGGACCAAAACTAAATTAAAACGGGGAAGAACAACAGTCTATTTTGTGGCGTGTCAAGACTGATGGGTTTGGCGGCAGCGCAATCCCCGCTTTGCACCAGGTTGAAGCGAGCAAGCGGAGAGACAGCAACATAGCTGTGTATCAGTTGATTTTCACCAATTGTTATCGTTTATCCGCTTCAAGAACTGGTGGAGAGTGAACTGGCTGCGCGCCAAACCCCGCCCTACTGGCGCGTCCCATCATCTGCAGCGTCGCAGAGGACGGCAATGGGCTAGTGAGTGCTTCCCGTCGCGATACCACCAACACTATAAAAACCTACCACGTTGAACGTTTCCTAGCATGGCAGGGGCCTCTATAATCTAAATTTCAGAGCAGCGGAAGTCTGGTGCAATCAAATTGAGACGATGCACGCAAACTGCAAACTACCGCAAAAATTTTGAACTTTTTTCGGCACACACAGCTAAACTGTAGGGACAAAACAGCGCCAACAACCCCATGGAATTTAGTGGACTTGCGCAAGAGCCGATTATCCTTATAAAATTGTTATCACTATACTTGAAACTGGTTCGCCTATTAAGGAACTCCTTCCCGCTTCCAGCTAAAGCAAGTATTTACGCCTGTTGCAATAAAGCTACTTTTGGGACCAGCTCTAGGAAGCCTTCTTAATGCCCTCCTACTTCCTCCAAAGTTACTAGCGCCAAAAGCCTCAACAGGAATGCATAATATCACAAAAACTTTAATTCATAAAGCTGTGAAAATTTCATCCGCAAACCGATCGTACGAAAAACCTGTTTCCCA